CAATTCTAAAGACTGATACATTGCACATACTCCGACCGGACAAGACGCACTGTCTCATCCGCGTCGTTTGAGAAGCACTCACTTAGTTGTTTTTAGAAAAGAGTTCAAATAAAATCAATTGCAAAAACAACAGCCGTTCCTTGAAGCCTGCATTAAACACTTATTTCCCATGGTTTTCTCAGTACTCCCGTACTCACCCTTGCTCTATATAAATAATCCCCCCCCAGTTGCTGAAGAAGATGAAGCAGTTCCTGCTGATGAGGAGTTCTTCCAGGAGCAAGCCGGCTACGATGAGTTTTAGGGTTTCGGCCTAGTTCCCAAGTCGCGCCTGTGTTGGTTGGTCCAAGTCCTGGCTTCCGTTTCCCTTTTGTAATGCAGTTGTGAGCTCGGGATCTGTCCGCAGCACAACATGACTGTACCTCTACTCTATAATAAAGAGACCTCTGTTGCTGTGATAATCCGTCTTCCTGTGATACCAGCACTGTTTCCTGGGACTGGTATCGATTAACAGGTTAATTTGGAGCGTCACGGGCTAGTTCCGGTCGGTACTAGTTCGGGGCGTGACAGCTGTCGACGTTTGATGTCGCGATTCTGGTATTTGCATAGTATGGGGATCGTTGGTACTAGGGTATACGCGAGACTGAGGCAAAAGAGATGGAGATGAGGATTTTTATACAGGTTCGGGCCCCTGAAGTGTCAGGTAATAACCCTACATCCTGTTGACCGAAGCCGGTATTGCTCTTATTCACCATAATCACACAAGTACAATATTTAGGGTAGCCTATCTAACTGTTGTCGACATGGCGGTCTGAAGGTCTGACTTGTAGTCGACAACAGGGTAGTCTTCCTCCTCGAGTTCGTGCCCAGCGAGATCAGAGACAGCGCAATGTCTTTCCTATCAGTATTCGGAGACACCGTAGGGGACTAGCCGTGCCTATCTCTGAAGTTGATATCCGGCGTCTTGTCTTGGCGTATGTTGGCTTGTATGTTGATCTTGTGTCTTGATCTATTGTTCCGTGTATATTGATTGTGGGTCTCTTCCATGGTGGGTGTGTTCCCTCTCCTCCTAGGGGGTCTTGTATTTATACCCATAGGTGTCTTCTTGTCCAAGAAGAACTAGGAAAACCAATATGGATACAATCCGAGTAGTCCTTGTCGTTTCCATGTAGAACTCTGGTTGTCTTTCCTTATCCGGAACTCCTCTTATATCCGCAGGTTGTTTCCGTCTAGGACATGGTATGTGGTGGGTCCTGCCGAGATTTAGTCGACTACTATTAGTTATGTGGTATCCATAACCCTGACAGACACCCACACTATGCACTGTCCGAAAACTCATCACTGTATTTTCATAAACACTTACCTTTGACAATTGTTCATCATTACGATTAAATCATCATATGATTCTACACCTTGTACGGAACTGGGAGCACACGACCATTGTTTATGGCCGGAAGAGAAGGATTTGTCACCTGCGGAGCACCATGAAATGGCTTAAGAACTCCAACATGAAACACGTCGTGGATGCGAGTGTCCGTCGATAGTTGAAGATGATAGGCCACATCACCCTCGCGAGCCAACAACTTGTATGGTCCATAGAACTTAGGCGAGAGCTTGCCCCAGCTAAATCCTGGTAGTGAAGCAGCCTACCACTGTAGAAGGCGAACCCACACCCAGTCACCCACACCAAATGCCACATCACGGTGCTTGTCATCAGTAGAGCTTGGCGTAGTCCTAAGCTGGGAGAAGACGTTCGCGGATGTCAGCGAGGAATTCATTGTGATCCGCCAATGCTTGATCAATGGCCGGCACTTAGGCAGAACCGCGGTCGTAGCTTCTGAGAACCGGCAGCTGCTGTCCATAGACGACGTGGAACGGCGTGGTTCGGAGGGACGACTAATATGCCGAATTGAAGCAAAATTCCGCCCACATAAGCCAACAGAGCCAATGGCGAGGCCGATGCCCCGTTAAACAACTCAGGTACCCAATGACATGGTTGTTGCCTCCGATTGGCTGTCGCTCGATATATGGGTGGAACGCCGAGCTGAGGTTGAGTTTTACTTTGGCCAGGCGAAAGAGCTCTTGCCAGAACGTGCTTGTCAACACCAGATCACGGTTGCTCACAATTGAGTTGGGCATGAGATAAATTTGGACCACCTCGGTGAAGAACGCCTGCACCACCGACGTCGCCGTGTACGAGTGCCCTAACGGGATGAAGTGGGAAAAATTGGAGAACCAGTCGTTGACAGTGAGGATGACGGACTTGTTGTGGACATGAGGGAGGCCTTCGACGAAGTCCATGGGTCGGTACGAGCAGCAGTTGTAGCAAGCCGGCTGGATGGAGGTGCTCATATTTGTTTCGCTAGCAAACCGCGCACATGCAGACGTGTTCCTAAACCATCTTCTTGGTGCCCGGGATATCAAAATCTGCTCCAAGGCGGTGAAGCATACGTTTGAACCCTTCATGTCCCACGTGGGTGGCCTCCAGTAAGGCTGGCAGCGATGGGGATGCCACCGCGATGAAGACTCATTTCTTGTAAACGAGAAGGTCGTCATGGAACACCCATGTCAGACCTTGATCGCCTGCCACATTGTCCCAGAGCTGCGCCAGCATGGCGTCGTCGTAGATCTCGCAGTGTAAATCGTCGAACACATGGAAGGATGGCTGGGTCACCGCGTTGAGCGCGGCTGTAGTGTTCTCCTCGTGGCGCGAGAGTGTGTCTGCCACTACATTGATGCGGTCTAGGCAAAATTCGACAGTGAAGTTGAATCCCATGAGCTTGCTAATGTTGTGGTACGATGGAGAGGCGCCGGTCGAGTAGGAACTTGAGGCTGTAGTGGTCCATTCGCACAGTGAACATGCGTCCCTCGAGGTAGGCTCGCCACTGTCGCATGGCTTGCACAAGGCCGATGAGCTCGCGTTCATAAGCTGCCAGTCCAGCGTGTTGCGGTGCCAGCGGCTGGCCGAAGAACGCTAGCAGTTCTTTGCCTTGGTGGAGAATGGTGCCGATCTTGGAGCCAGAAGCATCACATTCGACAATGATGCCTTGGCAAAATCCGGTAATTGGAGATCGCCTTCTTGAGCGCGACGAACGCCTTGTCAGCCTCCGGTGTCCAGCGGAACGCTTCAAGCTTGAGTAGGGCTGTGAGGGGAGCTGCGATGGCACCGTAGTCCCGGATAAACTTGCGGTAGTAGCAGAAAACCACGTACCACCCATAAGGAGCACGGCATCGGTCACTCCCTCGCTGTGCGAACCTTTTGTTCATCCATCACCATGCTGTCGGCGAACACGACATGGCCCATATAAATGCACTTGCTGTTCACTGAAGTGGCATTTAGCCTTTGATTGGGCCATGTGATACCCACATGCATATATCTTACATAACTCACTTTAACTTCATTTCGTGAAATACACCCGACTAAATGATCTCCAGTGGGTATTATTATCACGTGTTACAGGAGTGAATTTTATTCCAGTAATCTTTTTATCAGTCTTTTTGCTTTTAATTGTAAAGAGGAAAGTCTTCAAATCTGAAGAAAAATAAAAAAGAATGGCCAATTTATGCATCTCGAAGAGAACCAACAATACCCACATACCGCAGGCTTTATTAATTAGGGCGCCAACCGGCGCGTCTATTTTCTAGTTGGCATTGAATTCGGTAAGAGTTTAACAAACCTCCAAGAGATAAAAATAACTAACCACCAACTATCTATTCCAAATTTGAAATTATGGGTGCAAAGCTATATCCTCCTATATTTCCCATTAAACTCTTCTCATGCCGAACACGAATATTTTAAAACTCTACTTCTCACATTATCCCAAGTCATACAAAATTTCTAGTTGAGCAACAATTATCTCATGCAAGTCTCCATACTACATGCCTATTTCAATATGATATGATTACTTGTTTTCTAGATTTCTCCATACTATATATATGCCCGTTCTAATATGATACCATTTGCAATACGTAACAAAAATAGCGTTAATAGGTCAGGAAGTTTAAATACTTTTTTTTATTCCGATGCATTGAGGCGTCTATAATGAATTTATTAATTTCAATATATGCCAGCTTGTTGTTCAGAACATCTCCAAAGAATAAGCCGGCGTATCTTCTTGAGTTAATGGATTATGAAGTTGGCCTCTACACCATAAGGATGTACCCATTATACGAGGGTCTACTGAAACTGTACGATGTTTTGGAAAGAAAAAAAAATAAATATCTTACATTATGAATCAGAGGGAATATGTACACATCCATCTTGTGATTCATGTTATCTCTGTTAGGAATAGAGATATATCCGGAAGGAGTTTGCATGTGATGCTGCATGCGATCATGCATGTAATCAGGAGATATTCGGTTGAGATAAAACCGAAACCTGCTATATTTGTGTAAGCCGCGTTGGAGGCTGTTTCCAACCAAATCAATATATACGTGTGGCCTCGACAAGAGGTGATAACGCTTCCCAAAACCTTTTATGGTATCAGAGCATCTAAAATCGCCGTGATCAGATCGCATCTGCCATGGCGAGTTCCTCCAACAGCGTCGGCAATCCTTTCTCTGGTCAAGCCGTTCCTGAGAAGTTGACCAGGACGAACTTCCTTCTATGGAAGGGACAAATCCTCCCTGTGATTCGCGGCGCGCGTATGGAAGGGTATCTCACAGGCGCAACACAAGCTACGCCGGCTGTGATTGACGCCAAAGATGGAGAAGCTACTGTCAAGGCTGCAAATCCGGCGTTTGAAACCTGGATTGTGGCAGACTAGCAGGTGTTGGGGTTCCTCCTCTCCACCCTATCCAAGGAAATCCTCACACAGGTTATTCACTTGGAAACTGCAGCTCAAGTATGGAAGGCCATCACCGAGATGTTGTCTTCCCATTCACGCGCGCGGTCCCTGAACACGCGCTTGGCGCTGGCGACGACCCAGAAGGGCGATCTCAGCGTCTCAGACTACATCAGCAAGATGAAGGTCCTCGCTGACGAGATGACATCCGCCGGCAAGCCACTCGATGATGAGGAGTTGATGTCCTACATCCTTGCCGGTCTCGACGACGATTGGGAACCGGTTGTCTCCTCTCTTATTGGGAGACCGGATGTCGTCTCCTTCCACGAGCTTTACTCTCAACTCCGCAGCTTCGAGTCAAGGTAAAAGCTGCGGCATACGGCGGCGCACCAGTCCTCCGTCAATAGCGCCAAGCGCAGTGGAAGGGGCGGCTTCATCCCCTTCAATCGCGGCGGGCGTAGCGGTGGCAATGGAGGGCGCGGCGGCAACAATAATGGAGGGCGTGGTGGTGGTCGTGGCAAACCACGTCCAATCTGCCAGCTCTGTGGAAAAACAGGGCACGTTGTCGCCGATTGTTGGTATAGGTACGATGAGAATTTTGTTCCTGAAAATAAAATGGCTGCTGCAGCTTCATATGGCGTGGATACAAATTGGTATGTGGATACCGGAGCTACGGATCACATTACTGGAGAGTTAGACAAGTTAACAACTCGGGAGAAGTATAACGGGAAGGACCAAATATACATGGCAAGTGGTGCAGGTATGGACATTAAACATATTGGCCATTCCATTATTCATACCCCTACGCGCAATTTATATCTTAAGAATGTTTTGCATGTCCCTAAGGCCAAGAAAAATCTTCTTTCTGCACATCGTTTAGCCCTTGATAATCATGCTTTTGTTGAAGTTCACTCGCGCTTCTTTGCCATCAAGGATCAGGTCACGAGGAATCTTCTTCTTAGAGGGCCTTGCCGCAACGGTCTCTATCCCAATCCACCATCGTCGTCATCTTCGTCCAAGCAAGTTTTTGGAGTCATCAAACCCACTATTTCTAGGTGGCATAGTCATTTGGGTCATCCATCTTTGTCTATCATTCAAAAGGTTGTGAACAATAATAATCTCCCATGTTTAGGAGATCTTAATGAGTTAGGTGTGTGTGATGCTTGTCAAAAGGGAAAGAGTCATCAACTTCCCTATCCTAAGGGTGTGTTTGAGGAGAAGGGGATTGAGGAGATTGGGAAGATACGCAAAACGAGGTGAGCTATTAGCTCATGATTAATTGAGTATTAACTATTTTAAATTTCAAAAATGGATTAATATGATTTTTTAAAGCAACTTTCCTATAGAAAATTTTTGCAAAAAACGCACCGTTTAGTAGTTTGGGAAACGTGCGCGCAGAAAACGAAACGAACAAACTCACTCTCTCACCCTCTCAAATGCTGCCTAAGTCCTTCAGTGTGTCTAATAATCCTTTAGAGCTTGTGTTTCTGTGATGTATGGGGTCCTGCTCCCGACTCTGGTGGTGGCAAAACATATTATGTCAGTTTCATAGATGATTTTAGTAAATTTACTTGGATTTATTTGCTTAAGAAAAAATCTGAGGTTCTTCAGAAATTTCATGACTTTCAACAACTTGTTGAGAGACTTTTTAATCGCAAGATAATCACTATGCAATCTGACTGGGGGGGAGAATATGAAAAATTGCATTCCTTTTTTACCAAAATTGGAATCACTCATCATGTTTCATGTCCCCATGCTCACCAACAAAATGGTTCCGCTGAACGCAAACATAGACACATTATGGAAGTTGGCCTCTCTTTACTTGCTCATGCTTCTATGCCTCTTAAATTTTGGGATGAGGCTTTTCTTGCAGCCACATATCTCATTAATCGCACACCTAGCAAAGTTATACAATACTCTACGCCTCTAGAGCGCCTCTTGAATCAAAAACCAAATTATTCCTCCTTGAGAACTTTTGGATGTGCTTGTTGGCCTAATCTTAGACCCTACAATACTCGTAAACTTCAGTTTCGCTCAAAGCAATGTGTTTTTCTTGGCTATAGCAACATTCATAAAGGATTCAAGTGTCTTGACATTGCAACCGGCCGAGTTTATATCTCTAGAGATGTTGTCTTTGATGAAAATATTTTTCCCTTCTCAAAACTTCACTCTAATGCTGGAGCTAGACTAAAATCAGAAATCCTACTCTTGCCCCCCACACTGTTGAATCCTGAAATTGCTAGTGGGGGTATGCAAGGCAATGGTCATATGTCTAATGATCCTTCTAATATTCCTGTTGAGTTTGTATCTGCACAGGAGGAAGCAGAAGACGGAACAGGAAACAATGGTTCACATATTGTGCATGGTACAGAAAATCATACGGTGCATGGTACAGAAAATCTTGATGGTGGTGGCGACACAGGTTCTGATGATGGCAGCACAGAACCTGGTGGCAATGATTTTTCTCCTGGTCATTCTGATGTTGAAATTGATGCAGCCAGTGCTAGCGCTGATTCTGCAGATGCAGGCGCAGGTGGTGCAGGTCCTGACATAGGTGCTGTTGTTCCTGGAACAGCCAATACCACGGCAGCAAGCAGCAGTACCACGGCAGGCGACACTAGCACATCCGCAGGCAGTAGCAGGGCAGCTGGTTCAGGTGATGTGACAAATAATCAATCTGACTCTACGCAGGTTCAGCATCAGCAGACTAGACCCACGACTCGGCTGCAGAGGGGAATACGGAAGGAGAGAGTCTATACAGATGGTACATAAGGTACAATTTTTTAGCCTCTTCTAGTGGTGAACCACAAAGTTTAAGTGAAGCTTTAGCTGATCCAAATTGGAAGCAAGCCATGGATACTGAATTTACAGCCTTGATTAATAATAAAACCTGGCATTTAGTTCCACCGCATAATGATAGGAATATTATTGATTGCAAGTGGGTATATAAAATTAAAAGGAAAGCTGATAGTAGCCTGGATAGATATAAGGCTCGGTTGGTAGCAAAAGGCTTTAAACAACGGTATGGTATTGACTATGAAGATTCTTTTAGTCCAGTGGTTAAGGCTGCTACTATTAGAGCTGTTTTATCAGTTGCTGTATCTAGGGGTTGGTCTCTTCAACAACTTGATGTACAGAATGCTTTTCTTCATGGTTTGCTTGAAAGAGGAGGTTTACATAAGACAACCACCTGGATATGAAGACAAGAGTAAGTCTGATTATGTTTGTAAATTAGACAAGGCTTTATATGAATTGAAACAGGCACCACAAGCATGGTATTCCAGGTTAAGCAGTAAGTTGTGTGACCTTGGTTTCAAGGCATCAAAGGCTGACACTTCATTATTCTTTTATAGTAAAGGAGGTGTTACTATTTTTGTATTTATTTATGTGGATGACATAATTGTAGCTAGTTCAACTCAAAGTGCAGCGGAAGCATTGTTAAAGGACTTGAAGCAAGATTTTGCTTTGAAGGATATAGGTGATTTGCATTACTTTCTGGGAATAGAGGTTAACAAGGTATGTGATGGCATTCTGTTAACTCAAGAAAAGTATGCGTCTGACTTGTTAAAAAGGGCTGGTATGTCAGGATGCAAGCCTGTTGCTACACCTATGTCTACCACAGAAAAATTGTCAGCTCACAGTGGTTCTGTATTAGGAGAACAAGATGCTACTAAATATAGAAGTATTGTTGGAGCTTTGCGGCCAGATATTTCCTTTGTAGTAAATAAAGTTTGTCAGTTCTTGCATGGTCCTACTTTACAGCATTGGATGGCAGTTAAGAGGATACTGAGATATATTAAGTCTTCTATTGATCTTGGTTTAAGGATTAACAGATCTTCTTCCACTCTTGTTAGTGCTTTTTCTGATGCAGATTGGGCCGGATCAGTAGATGATAGAAGATCCACAGGAGGCTTTGCAGTTTTCCTTGGTTCAAATCTGGTGTCATGGAGTGCCAGAAAACAGGCTACAGTATCCAAGTCAAGTACAGAGGCTGAATATAAAGCAGTTGCAAATGCCACAGCAGAGGTAATTGTAACACCCTGAAAATTCGACCGACAAAATCAAAACTCTAAAAATACGGATTTTCAAAAACATTTTAAATAAATTGCATCATGCCGATTTTATTCGCCCATTCCATTGAATTTTGATTTCGGAGTTTCTAGATCGCAAATAAAGAACAATTGATTAGGAATAAAACCTAAAATTAAATGAGAAAAATAAATAACTGAAATATAATTTGGAGTAAAGATTAGGTGAGGTTGGAAATAAATAAAATATTATCGCAACCATATTAGTAACGATTGAATTCTAGTGCGACGAAACAAGAATTAACCCTAATTAAAAATTCAAATAAATTATATAAATAAAATATGAGTAATATTAACCGAGGGTGAATCCATAGGTTGGAATAACACAAATATTGAGTAAAATTCATATATGCAAAAATTAGGATTTATAGAATCAAATTTATATAAGAAATAGACTAAAATGGGAAAAATAGGAAAAAGACACTATTCATTAGCCCCTAGGTGTTTGATGTGGTCCCCTAGCCCAGCCCCCTCCTCTGCCTCGCGCCTGCGCCCCGCCCCGCGTCGCCGTCGTGCCGTCGCCGTCGCGTCGCCGCCCGTCGCGTCGCCGCCCCGAGCCCCGTGCGCCGCCGTCGCGTCGCTGTCACCGCGTCGCCGTGCGACATCGTCGCTGTCCCGCGCCTCGCGCCCCGAGCCGCCGCGCGCCATCGCCATCACCGCGTCGCCGCTCCGAGCCCCGCGCCGCGCCGCCCGCCCGTCGCGTCGCGTCGCCGAGCCGCCGCTGCCGCGCCGTCGCCGTCGCCATCCCGTTGCCGCGCCGCGCGTGCCGCCGTCGCCTCGAGCCCCGTTCCGCCGTCGCGTCACCCGTCCCATCGCCGCGCGCCCGTCGCCGTCACGCCTCGCGCCGTGCACCTCGCGCCCCACTCCACGTCGCCGTCGCGTCGCCTGCCCCGTCGCCGCGCGCGCCCGTCCCCTCGCCGCCTCGCGCCCCGCGCGCCGCGCCGTCCCATCACCACTAGGGCCGGCCGCCCTTCCCCAAGCCCTATAAAACCCCCTCCCCGGCCGTCCCTCCCCACCCCACACCATCCCACCCCATTTCCCCTCCTTCTCCACGCGCCGCCGCCTACGTGCCGCCGCGCCGTGCCGAGTGCCGCACCGTGCGTCGCCGCCTTGCGCCGCCGTCGCCGCCGCCGCCCCTCCCCTTGCTCGGCCGCCGTCGCCAGAGAGCCGAGAGAGAGAAGGGAGAAGAAGCCGAGAGGGAGAGAAAAAGAAAGAAGAGGGAGAGGAAAAGAAAGAAAGAAAAAAAGAAAGAAGAGGAGAGAAAAAGAAAGAAAGAGAAGAGAGAAAAAGAAAGGAGAAGGAGAGAAAAAAAAAGGAAAGGAAGAAAAGAAAGAAAAAGAAAGAAGTGAGAAAGAGGAAGGGAAAAATAAATAGAAAATTAGAGAGAAATTAAGGAGGTTTAGAAAATTTAAAATAATTAGAATTTAGTTATAGAATTACTTGTAGTCGTAAAATTACAAAATATTATATAATTATAGATTATTTTGGTAGTCCCTATAAGTAATCTATTCACGGTAGATAATCGGATTTAATTGCTAGAAATTTTAGCTATGTATTATATTTAATCATGAATTTCGTTTAGTCATAGACCAAATTAAATCGTACATTATTATAAGATAATTTTAGGATCTCGTCCGATATTTAGCTTGCGATAGAGATTTCTAATCTATTACATGGATATGATACCCGGGCTGATTAAATTAAAAACTTGTGCTAATAAAATATTTATACCCGCGAAATAGTTTAGGATGGATAAATTAAGATCGGATTAGCTCTATTTCACAAACAAAAATAGATAATGTAAGAAACCGACTTCCGCGCTCGATATCTTCTTGGATTTACTTGGATCTTTATTTGAATTCTAACCGAATTCAAATCGTTTCTTCGCACGTACTTTAGACCCCGAGGGAGTTGCGGATCCGAGCGAGGACCAAGACCCGCAAATCTTCGAGCAAGGCAAGTCATCACTATTATTTGAACATGTTGATCCCAATTGCGAAATTGTTTTGTTTACAAATAAAATTGCATGCAATGATGAACATCCTACTTGTGAATATGCCATGCCTTGATTATTGTTTACCCTTAAATCTTTGTAACCATGATTACGTATGAGTCCCCAGTCAACTATGACCATTGCTTAGAAATGTTATTCTAGAATCATGCATACTCATATTTATCAAATGCCATGCGTAGTGGTCTTCTTTTAGGTGTGTGATGCGACAAGCAGTCTGCTGGCGGATGCCCAATTCGGATGGCCAGGTGGATGGCGGATGCCCGTTTCGGATGGTCAGAGGCTGGCTTGGCAATACTACATGAGGATACCCATAAGAGAACAATCATGATGGACTGGGTTCAACGACAAGAAGCAACGTAGGAATGTGTGTGTTTTTCCCTTCCCGGGAGCGCCAGAACTCCTCTCACTGCTAGAAACGTATGACGCCTAGAGTACATGAGGGCTAAAGTTCATGAAGCGGGTACTGCCAATGCGAGGTTATCGAAAGGCTTTGCCGTGACGCGTCTCATGTGTTGGGACGAGGCTCATGTGTTGGACAGTCGCGGAGTGCGGGTAAAGTGTACATCCACTGCAGTGTGAGTAAACCAAATCTATTCGAATAGCCGTGCTCGCGGTTATTGAGCACCGGGACATGTATTACACTTGGCTAGACTCTAAATTCTTAACTTGTGTGGGATGGGATATTGCATGATGATTTCTATGCTGATGGAGCCACTTCCTGAGAGGTGGGAACGTGGACGTCCTCAGAAAACCATGACGACTCAATGGCGGGAAGCTATCCTTGGGATCACAATGGATGGTGGACAGAACCGTCATTGTTTAATATGAACACTAGTAATAAAATTTGATCAGTCTGTGCTAGGTCTTAGGTTTGTGAAAAGAATTACAAAACTTGCTTTGCGCAAAAGAACCATAGCCATCCTTTGAATACCCATGTCATGTGCATTGTTGCTGTGGTGGCTTGCTGAGTACGGTTGGTACTCACCCTTGCAATATACAAACTTAATCAGAGGTCGGAGATGAAGCTTCGGAGGATCCCAACGCTTACTACCAGGAGGGTGAAGAAGACGATGGCGCTCAGTAGGTCTTAGTTACGGTCGTTGCCTGTGGCAATGGCGTGCCGCTGCCTTGACTCCGCTGCCTTACCTACTTCTATTTTTGGAATGTATTACGGACCGCTCGGTCCGATGATCTAAGACTACGCCTGCGGGCTTTTGATGTAATAATTCGCACTAGACTTTCGTGTATGTGCATTTGGTATTTCAGTTATGAACTCGTGTGTACCAGACTACTTGATCCAGGGAAATGGTACTGTTTACACGATTGATTCCTGTTATAAAAACGGGGGTCCACAGTAATGTGGGTGCAAACTCTTCTTAAAGAGATTGGAGTTCAAGTTCCTTCTATGGCTAGATTATGGTGTGACAACTTAGGAGCTACATATTTGTCAGTCAATCATGTGTTTCATGCCAGAACAAAGCATATAGAAGTTGATTATCATTTTTTAAGAGAGAGAGTTGCTAGGAAGCAATTAGAGATAAAATTTATAGTATCTGGAGATCAAGTAGCAGATGGTTTTACTAAACCGATTACTGTACAACAACTTAGAGATTTTAGACGCAATCTTAACTTAGATAAGTTATGATTGAGGGGGGCTGTTAGGAATAGAGATATATATCCGGAAAGAGTTTGCATGTGATGCTGCATGCGATCATGCATGTAATCAAGAGATATTCGGTTGAGATAAAACCGAAACCTGCTATATTTGTGTAAGCCGCGTTGGAGGCTGTTTCCAACCAAATCAATATATACGTGCGGCCTTGACAAGAGGTGATAACGCTTCCCAAAACCTTTTAATCTCCAGCGCCCCAGAGCCTGCGTTGAACCAATCATTGTCAAATAACAAGATGAACAGTCTATGTCATTGATCATGCATGTAAACGATTTTGCTTCTTGTCTTGTTCATATACTGTCGAGGCATTATTGGACCACACCGAATCAATCGACGGCGACCACTCATCTGCAAGAAACAATCGAACACCATTAATGGCCGAACGAGCTATATGTACGCGGTCGAATATATAGGTGCCAGAATTTGCTCCAAATGTCGTCGGAGAAGATGCCTCTGGTTAGCGCTGCAGCAGGTTGTCAAAGAGGCCCTGTCCCGTTCAAGGACGTGGCCGCGGTCGTCGCCGGCGACGACGGCGCGGCGGCCGCCATGGCGCACCGGCCGCTGGCTGATCCGGAGGATGAAGACCACGACGAACTCATCGCAACCCTACCGTGCAAGCCGCCGACGCCGCTAATGAGAAGGATGCGGCTGTACCGCGGCGGCTGGTTCCCGGAGAAATGGCTCCCCGCGATCATGGCGTTCCGGCGGCGCTTCGAGGCGCGCGACGGCGACGTCGTCGTCGCCAGCCTCCCCAAGTGCGGCACCACGTGGCTCAAGGCCCTGGCCTTCGCCACCGCGGTGCGCGGCACGTACCCGCCGCCGCCGGTGGCCGGCAGCGACGACGAAGGCAACCGTCGTCACCCGCTCCTCCGCCTTAACCCGCACGAGTGCGTCCCGTTCTTGGAGAGTGTGTACTCCACCATGGAGGAGGAGAGCAAGCTCGACGCGACGCCCTCCCCTCGGCTACTGAGCACGCACCTGCCATACTCCGTCCTACCAGCCTCCATCACCGACAGTTCCCGATGTAAAATCATCTACGTCTGCAGGTACACGCACGCCATCCCTTCTACATTGGTCTTGTTTGGATCCTCTGAACTATTAAATTATCATCCGGAATCTTTCTATTTAGAAGAAGTATTAAACGAAGATTACTAACAAAAACCCATTCTATAATCCCTAGGCTATATTGCGAGATGAATCTAACGAGATATATTAATCCATGGTTAGCGGATGATTAATGTAGCATCATTGTAGCAAATCATGGATTAATATACCTCGTTAGATTCGTCTCAAAAATAGCCCGGAGGTTATAGAATAGGTTTTTGTCAGTAATTTACGTTTAATACTCCTAAATAACAAGATTCTATAGAGCTATTTAATAGCCCGGAGGATCCAAACAGGGCCATTGTACTACCTCCGTCCCAATTTAAGTGCGGTTATGTATTTTCTTGTCCAATATTTGATCATCCGTCTTATTTAAAAATTTATAAAAAATAAGAAAAATTAGTCACACATAAAGTACTATTGATATTTTATCATCTAATAACAGTAAAAATACTAATCGTAAATTTTTATCTATTAAGACAGATGGTCAAACATTGGACATAAACAATACAAAACTATACTCTTTTTGGACCTGGGGGTAGTATATAGTTGAATTGAAACCAGGGTTTTGTAATTTACAATGCAAAAGAGGGGTGACGTTTTGAAAGTTCGAACAGCTCTTTCAAAAAAAAAGTTGAATTTGGTCACATTTTTAGCCAGGGGTACTTCATTTCCTATCTAGACTCAACATTTAATCCATATTTTTAACTTAAAGCGAATTCTCTCTTAAAAAACGCAGAATGAATGTTCGTTTAGTTGCCATTTTTAACCTTAGTTTTTGTCTTTACCAAAATTTAGCATGGCAACAAGCTAATCATACCATTAACAAATAGCAATACACCACCCCTACTAAATTTTGGTAATTCCAGAAATTTCTACTCTAAAACTTCTAAAAAAAAGTGATAAGATATACCAACCTTATCTTATCTTTGCCAAAATTTGGTAGTGACAAGGGTTTGTAAGATTTTTTTTTTTTTTACAATAGAGTGAACAAGCCCATAGAATGCAAATACTTTATTACTCTATCGTGTAATACATTTTTTTTCAACCACAGGCAACCGAAGGACATGCTAATCTCCTTTTGGCATTTCATCAACCGTGACAAGTCGCGTGATGTGTCATCATCATACGTGTGGGAGTCTGTCCGCGAGTGTACATATTTTGGAAGCCCAATTTGGGATCACATCCTTGGGTACTGGAACGCGAGCAAGGTGAAGCCAGATAACGTGTTAATCCTAAAGTATGAAGACATGAAGCGCAACCCCACCGAAAACGTCGAGAAGATCGCAGAGTTCATAGGCCAACCATTCTCCAACAGCGAGAAGGAAGCCAGCATCGTTGACAACATTGTAGAGCTGTGCAGCTTTGAGAAGATGAAGGCTCTAGGTGCGAGCATGGCAGGGTCTCAAAAGGTAATTTCCTCCGAGTTCCCCAATGATTCGTTCTTTAGGAAGGGTGCTATTGGAGATTGGGTGAACCACGTCACACCAGAGATGGCTGAGAGTCTAGATAAATTTCTCTCCGAAAAATTCGATGGATCAGGCTTCACTTTCATGTGAGAACAATTCTATGATCTCCCCCTTTAATTACAGGGAAACAGGGTGCAAAGCATTTGAAAGGGTAGCACCTGCACCACTCATGAATGATTTGAAATTAATGCAAATCACTATGTGTTATGTTATATTTGGGACACACATTTCTTATTCCTGATGGTTACACAACATGAGAAATTGTGCTGTACTGGTGTATGTACTCAAAGTCTGAATGCTGTTACAGAAATGTGTTAGAATCAACAGAGATTGCGAGAGCCACAAACTAACGCAATCAGGACGGTTATTACAGAACTAAGAAATAGAATCACAGCATATGTCCTCTGGGAAAAATATATTGTCCTAATTTCATCTGTGATCCACAAACTTTTATGAAGTGGACTTAGGCCCTGTTTGATTCAGCTTAGGATTATTATAATATAGATTATTAGGAGTAAGCTGAAACAAACAAGTAGATTATTATGCTAGATTATTATAATCTACAAGTCAGATTACTGTAATCCAATAATCTCCTCTAGAGGAGCTTTTTTCAGATTATTGAGTGGCTAAAGACCCACTAGCCTTAGATGCCTCTAATAATCCAGAGAAACAAACAACACGTAGCTTAGATGCCTCTAATAATCCAGAGAAACAAACAACTCGTAGCTTATTTTAGTCAGATTATTATAATTCAGCTTAGAGTAATCTATATTACAATAATCTTAAGCTAAAACAAACATGGCCTTATTTAACCCGTAATTGACGCAGTTACTCTGATCCAACTGAGCACTTACAGAAAAGAACAACTGTAAATTTGTAAATTTGATGTTGGCTTAAGCCGTCATTGCAACACTATCACTAAAAAAATATAAAAATATCATTAGAATTGTCATTCGAATAGTATCCTTGTAAAATTAGAAAAAGCAAAAGCAATGACAAAATTTGCAAATGCCCCTCAAAAAGATACCACTAGAGCTCTCCACGGGCTGTTGGTGCACCCTTTTCCTAATTTTGTTACTGAACAAGGCTAATCGTATATGGTAAAAATGGAAAATAAGCCCTGATCTTAATTTTCTTTCAGCGTCCTAGGTACTACTAAGATACAATCAATTCATTATCAGTCCGACTGAGGATGATATTTTTGTGCTATTCTGGATTCTGAATTTCTGATGCCTCATGTAATATTCTCCAAAATACTAATTGAGATAATCTCAGATCTCTCTGTCTGATACTGTGTTCACAATATTTTTTTTTCTAACAAACTTTAGGTAGGTGATCTACAAATATCCAATTTAAATTGTACTCTGCACCGGATAAAATGCACCATGTTTCGGTCTGCCAATGCTTATTTGAATATATGTTATTCACTTGATTAAAAAACAAATATTTGATATTAAGTAATATCATGGGCTAATTTATCAAATGTGTGAAAGAAGTGGTGGTGGATTGGTGGCAGAACCATCACCACCGTTATTGTTATTTAGTCAATAGTATACATGTTCGGTTTTTGCTTTAAAGAGCTATAATAACTACTTATTACAAAATAATTGGCTCAATTCTCAATAAAAATGTAGCTAACATAGGCTGAAGAGAATAAAAATACCAAATAAAAAACGAGATGTCCAACGGTTCGGTTCGGCCCAGTTACTTTAAGCAGCTGCGGGCTGTAGTCGGCAACGGAGGCGATCACGGTGAGATGTTATACCCCACCCGGCCACCCCCAACAAACAACGCGCGCACACAGGAAATTGCGCCGTCGGATGAGGAAGCGACGGCGACGCAACGAACCACGTCCCTCGAACGTGAATTTACGCGATTCCCCTTGCCACACAAGACTTGTGGACTTCAGCACGTTTAACTTTTGCAGAAGATTCGCCTTTGCCTTTGTAACTCAATCCTTATGATCCAAATTTTTCGTGGGATGTCAAAAGACTGGTATTCACCTATAGTGACAAAAAAAAATGAAATTTTCGAATGGTGCTCTTATTAATAACCCTTAATCTCTGATCCTCCTATAAACATGTGCCTTGTGTGTTATGTAGACAAGTCGATTGGAGATTTTGAGAGTTATGTAGACAAGTCGTAAACTACAATCTGATAGTTGGACCGAATTCAAGCCTCATACAGCCATACAGGAAGGAAAACATACACAGCACTATCTACGAGCAAAGATGGATATCAGGTTCTGACTGAAGCAAACTGCACAAAAGAAAATGATGTATAAATCCAGCTTGAACTGCAACTCAAATTTTATCTGTACCACCACCAGATTACCAATTTACTGACTTTAAACAAATATCACACAGATGGCAGCATCGCCGTCATACAGTCAACATATCACATCCATCCGACAGCACTTTAACGCACCGAAACCATACAATCCAGAATGTCGGGAAGAGGCCCAGGTGGCTTAACTTACTAATGTTTGTGGCACCCAGCACCATATCATGCACATCTTGGGAAATAGTGTTGACCCACATAGCCTCCGGCCATTGCCCTTTTAACATTAGCTTCAAACAGCTTTGGGTTGTCACGGAGGACAGCTGCTGCTTCATGGTTCAACGGATCCTCATCGTTTGGTTGCTGCGGACAAAATCAAAAGCAAACTAAGCCACAAGAAATCTTACTAAACTGTAACCCACCAATGGCAATGGAAGCAATGTATAATCTGATCATCCAACAAGAATCTCAAGGAATGGAAGCAATGTATAATCTGATCATCCAACAAGAATCTCAAGGAAAAAAAAATCATTCATGCTACCCGGCACTTTCGTTGAGATGTTTGGCCAACAGAAGTTACAGAACAAGGGTTTCTCCAAGGTGTCATCCTCAATGACAAGGTTCAGGGGAGCAATTTTTCCTCTTAGTAGTTTTACTATGCCAGTTGTGATTGATGTTACTAGTCCAGCATCCATACTCAAAACCAAACAAAATGAAGTGGGTGTCAACAAATAAGCGCCTTGGGGCTTAGCTTTGGCCTGTTTTTTTCGTGCCAAAGAAATAACACACTACACTGACAAATTTTGGTAATTTTTCACCTAAGTTTTGGCCACATTGTAGTTACAAACAAAACAGTATGGAAATTATAACTAAAGATAAGAAATTGGCATCCAAAGACCTCAGCCCAAACAGCTCTAACATATCACCCACACAAATCATGGTTGCAATGACTCAGAAACTACATATAAGTATATCAACTTCCGTCTTCCATAGAAATTTAGGCTGCCTAATTTTACTTATCCGTGACTTAGAAACTACTCAAATTTTTTATGTACATTTAATTCAAGATAATGGAGAACTCATGTCAACTATAACTATTTAACTAATACTCCTGTACATAGTAAATAAGTAAAAATATATCATAGTTCTTTATACAAACCTTTGCATAAGTTTTTTACTTCTGTACCAAGACTATACATCGAGAATTGAATTCAATCTTAAAGTACATCAAAAATAGGACACCATGAATTATGCATGCCTTTCTCAAATTGATAAGATTACCACATTGCTGCTTAAAGTAGAAAACGAGTATCACAAACACCATGAAGCACAATGTAGATGACAACAGCATCGTAAACATAAGGCCTTATCTCGTAAACAACGAAGCATAATGATATGATAGGTTTGAACAGCATTGTAAACATGATTAGATATTTGTTTTTTTTATCTATTTCCGAAATACATAATTGCAATCAATAGGGGTCAAGGAAACTGAAATACCGTAAAAAGAAGGTTAAGGCCATAAATAACAGTGTTGATGTTGAGAACAGGCTTCCAATCTTCACGCAAAATGTTCAGGCATACATTTCCTTCCAAATCAATATTTGGATGGTATACCTGAATGCAAGTTATAATGCATAGAAATTGGTTAAGAGGCAACATATTCACTGGGAAAATATATAGCATAGAAAGCCCCATCTTATACCTTGGTCTTGCACTTCACCTTTGGAGGTTCATGAGGATAAGAGGGAGAGACTTGAAAAGTAAAGACGAAAGTGCCACCTCTAAAAAGGAAAAATCATTGTAAATAGAATTATAGGTGGGAACATGGTATGTAGAATTGACATTTAAGCAAAAAGAAAAAACAGTGTTCACAAGTGCTAGTCGCAGCTCATCAGAGCCTAGGACCTTATAACAAATCAGGCGAGTCTAAATAAGGATAGTCAGTCATCTATGTGAACAAATCAGCAAGGCTGGAAGGTGCTAGATGACTGCCTTCGAAAGCTTACAAAACTCAGTAGTCAAAATGTGATTATGTTAAGGCAAACAAGGATGGAGTATCCGCATTAAGTAGTGGCATGCCGCATGCCTATTAACTAGGCAACAGACAGGTAAATAATTCTGCCTTAAATAACCCCCTGTTTTGCCATAAATAATTCTGAAAGAACTGGTAAATGCTTTTTTTTAACACGACATAAATGATCTTTTAAAAATAGTGAAGGTTCTTTAAATTGACATAAACTTGTGAGGTAGTGCAGAACAACATAATAAACACAAAACAGAGATGCATTCTACTTACAGGTAATATCCTTCATCAGGTCGGACGATGATCTCAAAATTCATCAGATCATCCTTGCCATTGGGAAAAGAAATTGATGTGCTCTTGGGTAGGTTTAGCTCACTAATATCTGCCCAATATCATATAAAGTCATAAATAATTTATGACATGATAAAGTTGTAACAAGGAGAAGTTTATGATAATAAAAAATATGAAAATCTACTCCCTCTGTTCCATATTGTAAGTCATTTTAATTTTGTCCCAAGTCAAAATTCTCTAACTTTGACCAAATTCCTAGAAAAAATGCACCAACATCTACAATATCAAATTAGTTTCATTAAAACCACCATGACAGTGCATTTATTTGTTATTTTCGATACTGGTGCATTTTTCTATGAACTTAGTCAAAGTTAAAGAAGTTTTGACTTGGGACAAAACTAAAATGACTTGCAATGTGGAACAAAGGGAGTATTTGTATCAAAACTCAATAATTTGGACGAATGATAGAAATTGAAATTAACTTCTTTAACCACCAAAAAAAGAGAAATTGAAAATTCCAAATTTAGCCCCAGTAGGTCACATACAAACAACAGATACTCACATTCACGCATGGACTTGTGGCTTAGTCCGTGCAAGCATATAGCTCTTGGCCTCAAGCAAAATCTTTTAAGGCACTCCAACTTGGATGGTCCACAAATTCAAGGTTTGGCCATTTGCACAATCGCTAGAAGAGTTGCTTTCACATATTCCATGGCATCTAGACAGCATGCCAGTGTACGGAATGCATTACTTAAATAAGATACCATACACCTAGCTTAAAGTGCCACAAATTAATATACGCTGCATTGGATGATTGGAATAGCCATCCACCTGTCACTTTAATTTCCTTTCACACGATGAGGAATAGCAACTGTAAGTATTAATTGACATCCCTGCTATCATCTTCTTTGTCACTTCTCCTACTGATTAACCCAGTGCTGCTCCTACCCTCGCTGCTCCATCTCCTCTAGATCAGGATTCAAGAAAGAGAGGAAATAAGGAGAGAAATGAAGGAAAGAGAAGATGAGAGAGCTACTGTTCCACATCTGGCATGTGTGCTGGAGCACTATCAGGTCCCCTTTGGTGACACCGGCAGCCGGCAGGACTGCCCCACATGACGCATATACTACTAGTCATGCTCAACATGAAAATAAAGAGATTGCTAACAACTTAAAAAAGAGCATAGCCACATATGCAGCAGCATGCCAGCATCAAATTATTCAAATAAAAACCACCTGTGAGGATAGTGGAAACATTACATTTATGAGAACAGTTTGATAAGCTTTGAGAGTTAGTTAAAAGTTTAAAATTCAAGGAATTGTATGTCTAGCTCACAAATTTTTGTAAGAGAACTCAACAAAGGTAATTACTTTGGTCACAAGAACACATTCATTTTAGACACACATCTAGTTAAAATAACAAAAAAAATAAATATTAATATCAGATACATAATAATCATATATATACAGAATTGTAGATTAGTATCAAAATTATCTTCATAATATTGTAATTTATCGTATTTTAAATTACATTACAAAATAAATTAGAGATAAAGATTGCACTGTGAAGGCTCTGTCAATGTCCAGACAACATGTTTTTATGACCAAAAGGAAGTGCTGACAGTCATCTATAACTCAATGCACCTTTGTGAAGACGGAGCTCTCCAGCAGATTGCTTCTTCACAGGAGCCTTTCCAGCAGCACTTGCTGCCTGCTCTTTCTTTTTATCCTTTATTTTGATAAGATTAAGCATCTTTCTGCAAAGAAAAGGGGAAAAGATTTACAATCAGAGAAAAAACACTATCACCTGATGAAAGCACAAAAGAGAACATAATTAGTTGCATTTCTGCATCTCTGATGTGTAGTTTATTTTAGTCGAATGGTTAGAACTTAATCACAAAAAAATGGAATGGTTAGGACTAGAAGTCTGCTCTACATCAGTCATCACTCTGTTTTGTTATTTCCATTACAGCATAAAACATGAATAAAACACAAAAAGGAAATTCAACACGACCTTCAACTGCCCAGAAAGGATTTCTTGAGAGGGGACTGGAGAAACAATACTTGATGAGTTTTGACAACAGGAAGATCCAAAATTTAAATATAATACTAATACACTAAGCAGCAACCAGTAACTAAGTAGCTCGGCTAAACTTAGGAGGCATTTGGTTCAGGTTTTTTTTGGTGTAATCTGATTACCAAGCTAACCAATCCGGACGCCCTGTTTCTTATTTGTTCCACCTGGGTTGTAACTTAAGAACATTGGGACCAGACACAACACGGTTGAAAGCATATACCTCCTGGCCCTTACCGTAATGCCATAACAATAGTGTGCTTCATTTGGCCATCTACACTAGACTCATTAATGTTTCTGTAGTATTTAGGAAGGCACAACCACAAGGTGTTTGCAGCTGCACCATTTTTTGGTGTGTGCAGAACAATCATCTTATTGTACAAACTCTCGAGATACGAATAAAAAGAACTCAATGCACATGCATTTACAAAATGCTTCTACATTACAGACATTTATAGCACTTCTCCTTCCAGAAATAAACACATGCACGATTTGGTTTCTCAATACATACTCGAGAAGAAACATTAATCTAACCCCATGCGAATCGAGCGGGAAATTAAAGCTAGAATGTTTACTTCTTTTCTTAAATCAGGCTGGCCTAATTTTATCAAGAGCAGGAGAAAAACAGGTCGTTACAAAGCTCATCAACACGGCTGTTGGGGTGAAACTCTCAGAATCATAGGCGACGCTAAGGGAGATGAGCTCTACACAGGCAGGGGCGGATCCAACTTGGGAGTTGGGACAGTTGAACCCCTAAACTTTTGGGGGAACAAACAAACTATTACTTGTATTAAGATTAAGGCTCTGAAATTAAGAGAAGAGCTTCTTCCAGATCTAGAAGAGAAGCTAGGGTTAACGAACGAACGCAAGCAAATTCCAAGACATAAGTAGTCCCGGTGGGAGAGAGAGATGAATCAGGAAGAGGATGTTGATGCTCACCAGGATACCTTCCCTTCCCCTCCCCTGCTCTGCTCGCCAGATGGAGATCGGCGCCCCTCCTCTGTTGAGCCGCGACTCGTCTTGGCGCAAGGAGCGGAGGAGACGACGGACGAGACGGGAGATCTCTCTTTCTATTACGCAAGGGAAGGAACTAGGAAGGGGAAGATACTCGAGTACATCACCCTTATCTAATTATTATTTTTTACTTTAAAACTGCACTGGCAAACCCTTCTACGCTAATACTTCAAAATTTTCAGCTAATCTTTGGAAATTTCCGTACCTGGGCTATACAATACTAATAGAGTCTACTGTACGATGATGGTATATTATAAAAGTTAAGCAAAATAAAATAGCATATTATAAAACTTGACAAACTCAGTGACATATTATAGAATGGGAAGAAAGTCAGTGACATAAAATCAATTCTCTCTAAAGTCGTTTCTTTATTTCATTCAAAACAAAACATTTCTTACATAAACATGTTAAGAGAATGAGAAAAGGTTAGAAAAAAGGGAGGTTGGTCACTAGCCTAAACACACGGAGAAAAGTTGCTTGCATCCATAGCATGGTATATACTCATATTAATCGATAATATACTAATATTATTAAATCTGTTCTTCATTGTAATACGGTGTAAAGCTAAAACTTTAATCATATATTATTTCGTTGTTTTATTTTTTTTCTTGTTTTCTCGTTCTTCTTTATTTTCGGTAATAATATTGTTAGAGCCAACACTATTACCTGCAATCTGGACAGACAGCCTGTCCAGATTCGTAGTTCTAGGAAATGTCACATCCGGTTCTAGGTTCTTATATTTTGGGAAGAAGAGAGTATTATTTTTTTATAATATTGTATGATAATGAGATATTTATTGTTTTATAAATAGTTTAGTTTATCAAACCTCCATTTATAAAATCCTACGCCCGTCACCGTACAAAGGGTAAACATCCAAACACTCTCCGGGTTGCCCTGACAAGCCTACAACAGCCATGGTAAGTGGCGCAACAGGCGGAAAAGATCCATCTCTGTCCTTCTCTCCTTTAACTGTGACCCATCCAGCACTAATGAAGGGCTTTAATCTGGTTCAAGCTCGGGACAGCCTCACCTTTAGCCGTTTTATGGATCCATTCTTCGGTTTAGAAAACTATTGCGATCTATAAAAGACACGGTTCAATTGGTTTCATCTACGTTTTGCTTGGTTTGTCTATTAATTATCATCTCTTCCACCAATGACTGGATCGGCAGAGATGTGGAACAACATATATTGCCCATGGTTTCCGATATATGGATGTGGTAGAGAGGAATGCTTTGTCAAATTTAATTGTAATTTTCTCTTTTGATCCAGTCTTTTCTTTATTGGATCTTGTTTTTCTCAATATAAGTCAGATATATGATACTGTAGGTGTCTTTAAAAATAACAACTATAGTATGAGAGGAGGCTTGACCAATTTACTCATTACATAATTTACTCATTACATAGTATCGATATTTCATCAATTTTAATATCTATTGATTATTTGTCGTAAACACAGAATGAAATTATAAAATATGTCCTTTCTATTATTCCCTTTTCAATCCTTATTTCCTCACTTTTCTCCATCTTCAATACGTGAGCTCTAGACTAGCTTTGTCCATACATTAATGGTTCTTGTGTGTTTTTACCATAAGATGCAATATTGGCATAGGAAGGGAAAAGACTTGCTTTAGAATTTTATTCATATTGCATAGATAGATGAGTGTCAAGGTATCTACATTACTGAAAAGAATAATCTTTCTCAAAACTAGATTAAGCCACGTAATCTAAAAATTAAACACCATCTAGGGGTGTTTAAAACAAGATTCAAGGGTTACTCGTGGTGTAGAAAATATGGTATACCCCTAGCACATAGGGAAACACCAGACATCCATATAGAATACATGTACGTCTATGGGAAGGCTACTCCCATAAAATATTGCATTTCGGTCATGCAAAGAAACCAAGACTTACTTCAGGAAAACTGTAGGAGACCCAATTGGACTCGAGCAGGACTCAAATAGGGTTTGGGGCTAGGGTTTAGGGTTATTTAATCCAGTGCGGTAGAAGCCTCTCCTGTTGTTTTCTTGTTAAAAAATTAGAAAACTACCAATCATACCTCTGGGAGTCCTTTAGGATACGAGAAGACCTAGGATTACAAATACCTAGCAAGGACAGAGAGAGAGAAACACACGGAACACAATAACACAACAATCAACCAAGCCCCATCGAGATCAAGCCATCGATCCGCACTACAAGATATGTGTGACTTTTTGATGTATTTAATATGACACATGTCATAATGTCACTATATCATATAATTTATGACATTTTATTTCAGGCATTTCAACTTAATGACAATAAAAAGTTGTGTGTCACAATAAATGTCATATAGCTAGTCTAATGTCATCCAGTGACAATATTTAGTATGTCATAAGACCTATTTGTGTGTCACAAATTATTTATTGTATTATTTTAAATACTTTTGTCCATGTAGGCAAGCCTTACTGCCACATCAGATTTTATTTTCATTTTTTCTTTTAATAATATGTTTTTCCATTCTAATTGGGCCACCTATAGAAGACTAAACAGGCAATCTATTGTGTGTAATGAACCGCCTATCTGCACCCACAGATGAGCCAACCTGGTGCTAGCCCAACAGTAGCGTCCCGAAATGGGCCAACCCGTTACTCAGCAAAATTTCAAAATGGGCCAACCCGTTACTCAGCAAAATTTCTTAAAAAAATGTTGGCCATGGGAGTCGAACCCACAACCTTCTGTTTCAAGGGCGGTGTGCAAACCACTAAGCTACAAATGATTTGTTTGTTAGATGTTGCATATTATTTTATATATCATGTTTATATCCTCTAAAGAAACTAACCTAACAGGTCGTCAACCTTCCTACTTGAGCCCATACCGCAGTCCTCTCCTTGCGACTCCAATCTCCGCCTCCACCGCCGCTGTGCGGCTCCTCCGTCATCGTCGCGAGCATCACCGGAGCGCCGTGGTGCTCCTACTCGTTGAGCGCAGTTTTGAGGGGTCTGCCGGGGTCCTCACCGGAGCGTGGGGCAGCGGTTTGGCGGGCGCTGGCAGCGGCGGATCTAGCGGCACGCTAGAGAAGCGTGGGGAGCGGTGCGCGGGGCAGGCGAAGAGGCGCAGCCAGCGGCGCACTGGGCGGGCAGAGAGGCGCGTCAAGTGGCCGACGGTGATGCCCGCGGCCAGCCACGAGCGGAGCAGCGCGCGGCAGCGGAGCGGCTTAGTGAGCAGGCCGTCCGGCGTTCCCAGCAACGTGGCTGGGGCTAATCTCCGTCAAGCAGCGGAGCATCCTTGATTTGTTCTCCTCAGAGTGCTAGCCTGCAAGAAAGGTACAGTCTTGCATCTCAGTGCTTAGTAGTAGTTGCTTACTGATTTGCGCCAATCATAGGACAATAGTTCATGGTAATACCAATTTGTATCCTAGTGTTTGTTTGTTAGCAAGAAATATATAAAGAGTATGTGTTACCTGGATAAAAAAGATTCGTGTAAATTTATTTGACCCATTATTGGAGATAAAACAATGCTCAACTATTGTGTACAGATTGCATATAAATGATGACATGTCACATGCTTAATAATTTTGGTCAAGTATCATATATATGTAAATTTTTTTGAGCAAGTGTATCTCATGATTTTGTACAGATGGATAGATCTTGGATCAACAGTAAGAGGTTCAGCAATGAATACATGGATGGGGTGAATGAATTCATGACCTTTCTTTCTGAGAGATTTGGCGACGATGAAGAGATGTTGTGCCCATGCCGTCGGTGTTTGAATCGGGTTCCCCAATTTAAAGGACGGGTGCATGATCACTTGCATATTCATGGGATGGCTACTACTTACACTAGATGGATACATCATGGAGAACCATTGAAGGTTGTACCACATGAAATTGATGACCATGTTGATGAGGATACTAGTCTCAATGAGGATTTTGACATGAATGTGGATGAGGAAGATGACCCTGATGATGGAATTCATGGTATGGTAGAGGAGTTGTACACAGCTGAAGAAGAAGGTCAAGGGAAAAAGTCTATGTTTGCAATTCTATTGGAAGAGATGAAACAAGAACTGTACCCTGGTGGTCCTTGCACAAGGTTTTCTTTTGTGGTGAAGTTACTTCATATCAAGTCATTTTACCGAATTTCTAATGTTGCATTCACAGTGTTGCTGAAGTTGTTGTCATCATCATTCCCAAATTGCTCTATTCCTGCATCATACGAGGAAGCAAAGCGACTTATCCGTGCATTGGGGCTCGGATATAATTCAATCCATGTGTGCCCAAATAATTGTGTTCTATTTAGGAAGAATTTAGAAAAAAAAATATGTTTGTCCGGTTTGTGGTGCATCAAGATGGAAAGACAATGGTGGAAGGAAGAAGATTCCTGAGAAGGTTTTGCGACATTTTCCATTGATTCCTAGGCTGAAGAGAATTTTTTCTTCCAAAAGAACGGCAGAGGAGGTGCAATGGCATAAGTTGAAGAGGAAGCCAGTGGAGAATGAGCTCAGCCATCCAGCTGATGGCGAGTCATGGAAAGACTTTGACAGAAAGTATGGGTGGTTTGCAGAAGATGCAAGGAACATCAGACTTGGCCTTGCTACTGATGGTTTCAATCCATTTGGTAAAATGAGCTTCTCGTATAGCATGTGGCCAGTGTTTCTTATCCCGTACAATTTTCCTCCATGGGAATGTGTAGAGCAATCAAACTTTATCATGGGCCTGCTTATCCCTGGTCGAGAATGCCCAGGAAAGGACATTGATGTTTTCTTGGAGCCACTTATTGAGGAGCTGCTAGAGCTTTGGAAAGGTGTCCCTACTGTTGATGTACTTACTAAGAAGAAGTTTGATCTACATGCTGCTGTAATATGGTGCATTCATGATTATCCTGGTTTGAGCACATTATCAGGTAGAGTCACAAGAGGTTATTATGCATGTGTGCATTGTGATAAAAACGCTTGCTCCAAAAGGATAAGGAATAAGATATGTTACATTGGCCATCGGCGTTTCCTTGCTAGGGACCATCCATGGAGGAGAAGCAAGGTGTTTGATGGTAATGTTGAAAACTGTGAGAAGCCAGAGAAATTTACCACGGATGAGCTGATGGAGCAACTGGAGAGGGTCAAGGATGT